GACATGCATTATTAAGATCCCTAATGTCGACGCACACTCGAATCTGGCCATTTTTCTTCCTTACTATGACAATACTTGAAACCCATGTTGGGTATTTAACTTCACGAATAAAGCCAGCTTCGATGAGTTTGTTAACTTCGGTTTCAATCAAGGGAACCAAGTCCGGCCTAAAATGCCTTTGAGCTTGTTTAACAGGGCGAGCGCCATTTTTGATTGCAAGGTGATGGACTGCTACCTTCGGGTCCAAGCCAGACATCTCTTTGTAACTCCAAGAAAAAAAAACCTAAACTCCTTGAGTAACTCAATATAAGTGCTCTCTTCATCAACTTCTAGTAAAGCACTTAGGTAGGTAGGTCTTGGTTCTTCAGCGGTGCCAAGGTTAACTTCTTTTAAGGCATCAACTGTCGTCTTCAATCCTTCTTCAAGTTCAGGTGGAGCATCTTTCGCATCTTCATCTTCTTTAGGGTCCCCATCGTTGAAGGATATGTGATAACATGGTGAAACATCCTCCAATTCTACATTATCCTCCATTGAAGATGGAACACCATTCTCGCCTTGTACAGTAACATGATACGAAGAACCTACACTTTCTTCATCTTCGTCACACTCCTTAGTGTAGACCACAGTATATGGATTTACCTTCAGTACTTCTTTATATAAAACCACAAGTTTTATTTGTCGCCTCATTCTAGAAGGAACCAAACTTTGGAAATCCTTAGAGATCTTCTGGATTTTGGGCGAAGCGGGTGTTCTTATGCTTTGAAAATTTCTCTGGAACTTGTTCCCCTTCTTTAATGGACCCAATCTTTCAAACACGGAGGTCCTCACAGGTGATTTTCCAATTCGATCAAAGACAGAAGGCTTGTTAGAAGCGGCATATTCATCTTCAACAGTGATATAATTGCTACTCGACCTTCTTATGGAGATGCACACCGGTGACAGTTGCTTGTATCCCAAGCCTTCACGTGGTTGTCTCGTTGCACTTCTGATGGTAGCTTCCCTAACTTTGACGGCTCATTAGGATTGTATCCAGCTTTTGCAAATAGCTTGTAAGCGTTAGGATCAAAACCTTCATCTGTTCTCTTTGTAGGGAGTGCCACATTCTGCAAACGATTTTGGGCTACAAACCCTGCAAGCGGCCTCGAGGACAACTTTACTGCCTCAATTCGTTTTATCGGAAGAGTTAACTCCTTTAGCATGTTAGTTTGGAGATTAGATGATTCGCCCTCGTCTTTCTTCCTTTTAGGGACATATTGGAGCGTAGGACTCACTTTCTTGCCATAAGACGCAATACCCCCTCTATAAGATTTATTCGCGTTGGGTTGTACCTCCTCGGTAACATCTTTGACTCTACCAGTAGTTCACTTCGGCTCTTTTAGTTATGGGCTCGTCATTTTTTTCTTTTTATGACATCATCAGCTTTTAGCTCCTTCACAATGCGGTTCTTCAAGTAGAACTTTGCATCGGCAAAGTGTGACTCAGCTTCGGTGAATGGCTCATCATCAGCAACTATCTTCTTCTCGACCTCACCCTCGTAGTATTTTAGACATTGATGATAGGTAGATGGAACTACTTTATTCTCATGTATCCAAGGCCATCCAAGCAAGACGTTGTATGAAGTCTTTGCATCGATCACATGTAGCCATGCACTTGATTGCATATCTTCAATAGTGATTTCCAGCCTGATCGCGCCTATGGCTCTTTGCCCCCCTTGGTTGAATCCTTGGATCATCACACGATTTTCTGAGAGTTCGTTCATGGGAATACCAACTTATTTCACAGTGCGAATTGGCAAAATGTTCAGTGAGGATCCTCCATCAACCAAAATTCGATTTACCCTTTCATCACGCATATAGCCAACCAGGTACAATGGGCGGTTATGATTACCTAGCAGAAGATCGTCATTTGTGAACGTGACTTTTTCCTCACAAGCATTAACTTCTTGAGGAGTGGACTCGATGAGCTTTTCCGAAGATGGTTCCAACGGTAGGTCATCACTCTTTTCTTCCCCTTTGTCAGCATGGCAACAAGAGGCATCGATACCCTCATGGGAAATCTCCGTGCGGAACCAACTTGGTAAAAACTCCTCCAAGGTCATTGGATTTCGTGGCTTTTGAAAATGGTGCATCTCCACTTTTGCTTTCTTCAGACGCCTAACTGGATTCTTTTTCGTTGGTCTTTTTACCATCATCTTCCTTGTTGGTTGTTCTATTGATTCTTTTCGTGGGCTCCTTTTGTGGCGCCTACGACGAGTCACCAACGTCCAACCTTCATCATCATCAGGTTGATCGTCTTCAACTTTGTTGTTCTCC